CCAGAAAGAGACAGAGACAGAAAGTGAGAAATCAACCCCCAGGGGGGATGGCCACACCGCAAACCCTTCTCCTCCATTCTCCTCTCGGGATCTTGGGCACGCACAGACACGCGCCCGGCATGAGTTTAAGCCGCCGGGTCTGGGACTCGAACCACGCGTCGACTACATGGGAGTCCAGCAATGTAGCCATTACACTAACTGCTGGTCTCTTAAAAGAATTAGTTTATTTTTTTCTTGGGCCCCTCCTGAAACTGACTAAATTAGAAAGGCCAGGCTTAGGGCCCAGTAATCTGTGTTTTAAAAAGCCCTGCAAGTTTTCGCGATGTGTGATAAATTTGAGAATGACTTGCTGTCCTGAGGGCCTGTGGTCTGCTCCTCAGATAGCAACCTGAGCCTGATGACCGACCCAGGGCTGGGACACAAGGCACAATGCCAAGACAAACTCTGGCTGAGCTAGCGTGATCCCTGTACCACTGCAGCTGGGCCTGAGATCTGCTTCAGCGACTTTTCTGGGGGCAGCCACGGTGGTGTGGCAGTAACTCAGTGTTCCATGAGTGTGCACACACGTTTGTGACCCACTGGCAGAAGGCAAGACTGGAACTGACGACTCTGCTGGGGATACCCGTCTCTCCCTGTCTCCCTGTGTCATAGGAGAAATAAATGAATAACACTTTTTAAAAATACTACTTGGTACCAAAAACTGGAAAGCTGATGAAATAAGTATGGTAAAATGCTGATTATTTATGCAGCCAGTGATGTGTATGAGTCTCTTATACTTCCTACTCTGATGTGCAGGTAGAAGTTTTCATAGTATAAAGTTAGGAGGGAAAAGGGGCCAGCAGGTGGTTTGGTGGTTAACGGTGCTGGACTCCCACATGGCCGACTGTGATTCGAGTCCTGGACCTGGTAGCTTTCTCTCTCTCTCTCTCTGTCCCTCTCTGGTCAAATTAAAATAAGTACGTAAATAAATAAATAATTCTTTAAATTTTTTTTTTTTTTTAAAAATCAGGGCTAATCATACAAGACCTCTCCCTAGAAAGGTACCTTCAAATGTTAACAGGGGGCCAGCAGGTGGCATGGTGGTTAAGGACGCTGGACTCCCACATGGCCAACTGCAGTTCGAGTCCCGAACCTGGCAGCTTGCTTTCTCACTTTCTCCCTCTGTCCCACTCTGGTCAAATGAAAATAAATAAATAAATAATCTTTTAAAAAATCTTTTTAAAATCTTTAAAACAAAATGTTAACAGGGACACTACCTGAGACTCCACAACTGCCTCCTTGCTGGCTTCACACACACCTAGCACGCCCCCAGCACGGTCTCTGTCCCTGCTGCTCCTGCTTCTTGGAACACTCTCCACCCAGCTATCCACACAGCTTGCTCTGCCCCTCTTTCAGACCTCTGCTGGGAGGTCATCCTGACCACACCCCAACACACACACATGTGCACTCTCTCTCCCTCGTCCCCGCTCTGGTGTTTCCACACACTTCACACACCCTAACACAGAAACTGTTCGCCCCCCTTCAGAAGTTCTACGCTGGCGGAGGCTTTCACTGTCTCCACGGTCTACACTCTCAGTCCCTTCGTGCAGTCACTGGTGAGTGAGTGAATGCACGCCGGATCTCTAGGCCAGACGGGAGATACGAGGACCTAAGTGCTTCTACCCGCGGACAAACCACACGACAATTCTGAAAAGGCAAGATGCGTTCACCTTCAAGAGCGGCTGAGACCCAGGGCGTCAAGGTCTGGGGGCCCGGGCTGTGAGGTCTGGAAATGAACAGTCAGGTGCTGGTCTGGATGTCCACACAGGAGTGCCGGGAGCACGGACGGCGGGCTGTCCCAGGTGAGTGCTAGGATGACGGCTGCGTAGGCCACAAGTACAACTCCGTCAAGGCTGCTGTCACGGCGGAAGTCGCGAAAACTGAGCCTCTCTCCAGCGGCTGTTGCCTTGTTCCTGCTATTAAAAGAAAAGGTAGGTCAGAGTTTTTCTTGTCTAAAGAAAGGAGTTCAGAGGTCATCAGATTTTTCACACCAGGCTGCTTTAGTGAAGGGACCTGGCTTCCTCTACCCTGGATGCCCCCTCCTGTGGCAGGAAGAAGAGTGGGTTTCTAAGAGGAAGACTGGGAAAACGCAGTGGGTCATGGAATGCGCAGAATCGCAGATGGTTTTCAAGTCAAACAACCCTGACGGGTGGCCTGGTTCAGCTTTCCCACTGTACACAGAATTTTCTGGTGTTAGACCAAGCAACATTGCTGGACTCCCATGTAGTCCACCGCAGTTCAAGTCTGCACCCGGCAGCTTAAGACACCGCGGGGGCCTGTGTGTGCCCGAAATCTCCAGGGGAGAATGGAGAAGGAATTACAATGTGCCCATCTCTCCTGGGAGGTTATTTCTCACTTCTGTCTCTGTCTCTCCAGCGAGAGTGCCAGCCGTATAGCAAAACTCTCTATAGAAATCAAGCATAAAAGGAACACAGGGGAACTGGCCTTGCGGGCATTCGGCAGGTCCTGATCACACCCCACCTTGGCGATGCGATGGTAACCCATTAGGGGAGTGCTCGCCAATTAAGCTACTGTAGAAAGACCTATCCGGACGTAAACGCGACAGGACGGGAACCTTGCGGGAGAAGCCCAAGTGGAGTTAACTCGGGGTTCGGTCTGGACGACGGCGGCTAACACCGAACGCCTCTCAAGGTCCACGTTCTGTGTCGTGGGAAGCCTCAAGTCTGGACCACGGCGCTGCTCGGTGTGACAGCCCGAGTCCCGTCGCAGACGCCCATCTATCTCCAGGTCTCAGCTCCGGTCTGATCCCCGCTCTCCCGAGGAGGGCGGCCGCTCAGGTCCAGCCCTAGACACAGGCGGGGAGGGGAGCGGTCCCGCAGGCCAGCGGCGGGGAGGGCCCGCAGGGGCTGCCCCCGGGCTTCCCGAACAGGCCCGGAGCCTCCCCGGGAGACCCCGAAGGCCCCCGCACC